GGCTGATAGTGAGGCCTATTGCTTACCTGTATTCCGGAGTTCCCACCGCCTCACCCGTGGACATATCAAGAAGCATGATCAAGTCAGGAACAACAGAAAGGTACTTTGCGCATCGACATCAGCATACAAATGCGTATCTATGCTTAGAGGTAATGCAGAAAGAGAAGGGAGAGCAACCCACCTCGTCAGAACCATCGTCTTTGATAACCTTCACACTCAAATTCTCATTGACAAATTCAACCACTATCCTGGTTGGACCCCCAGGCTGTTCAGCGCCCTGAGTTCCCAGTTCGTCTGGTGACAATTGCTGAAGAACCACTTTCCCAGTGGTATGGGCAGTGGCCGATAAACCATGCTCAACGCTGATGATTTTGCCATAGAAGACAACCTTTGCGCTCTGCTTTCCGCCAAACTCACGAACTATATCATCTGACACTGAAAACAGGCGTCCCTCTTTTTGCGCTAATGAAACTGCACGACCAAGTCGCCAAGCCAGAGAGTGTGAGTTAAGAATACCAAAACGACGCATGTCGGCCCCGCTTATCGGGACTCCTGTGGCTCCAGCAGCAGAGCTGGGGGAATATATAGTTAGATTCACAGAGACTATAACGGCAGAGCATATCCAACACATGGCAACCTATGAACAATAGTAAAACACCTACCCCATCTCAACGCATGTAGACCGGATGGCATAATCAGCTGCTTTCGCATCCGGTTGGTTAGGAGGGATAATCACGTTCCTACCTGTACCGCTGGACAGTGCTACAGGGAGTATGTCGTTAATATCTGTCGATTCAATGAAAGTCGTAATCTTTTCGAAGTTCGGATAGGCTCTTCCTTAATTTCAGACCACATATCAGCATATATTAAGAACAGAAAAAAGTGGCTTAGAAATATACCCATTAGGTCGCCATCAACGCAAGGTAGGTTGTAGTGTTTGGAAGAGGCCCAAATAAGTGGCTGCAATCCATTGCTTCCCCCTATCTCAACAGCCAACATGGCATCATATTTCTTCCCGAGCTCCTTTTCCATTGTTTGTAGGGAATGCAACACCATGTCTCCACCAGGTCTCTCATCGGCTACTGCTGGAGACCCAACTCCAGCTACGGGAACAAGAACCGCATCCGCATCTAGTGACGAAACATCAACTATAGCCAAAGTTCTTCCCTCTTCAACTAGATTAGCAGCTTCGAGATATGTTGAATACGGAGAGCCCCCGCCCCCACAACCTAGAATGTAGCAGCCAATAGACATAAATTGAAGGTCAATTTTGGATAGTAACCATCTACCAGACTCGTCAACTGTAGGCCGATACTTGGAGATGTCAAACATTGGCTCCTCTGCACCATCTAATCTTGGCACATTATCGGCGATCTTCGTTTCCTCGTATCCGGGTTCGTCTTTATTGGAAGAGAACATTGCTTCACTGTTCTCAAAAGATGAGTAGAAACGTGCATGATTTGCCGGGCACGCAACTTCAATCAAAACTTTCTTCACGTTGTCAATATAAGGGACTCCAACGACTTCTTCCCTGGTAATCACAGCCCCCGAGATATCAGCACCCCGAGACTCGGCATCTGCAAGGGCAGCAGCTTTGACTTTAGCTTTTGTATATTCTACAGAAGCACTGTCTGTCATTTCCTCCGCTCTGCCACTTATTTGCGCGATCGCAGCTCCGATCGCATTAGCAACACCAGCAAATTCAGGGATAACCATCTTGCTGACTCCTTCTAAATGGTCTGGACACAGCACCGCGCCGCCTCCGACTAGGATAACAGTACAGGGCTCTGGCGAGGTTTTTGACTTGTCGATAAGATTTTCTAGCATTAACTTTATTCTAGATCTCGCTTTATCAACTATCGGCTGCGGAAGAATGGGATTCGTCGTACCAACAGATGCCCCTGACAAAACGGCAATGTCAGTAGCTGTTGGTATGGTGCCTCCAAAGCAGAGCGCTTTCGTGGTGATCTCATGCCCGACACTTTCAGGTCCCACAAGCATGCGCTTGCCGTCTCCGTTTTCCCGGACCAAGGAACCCCCCCCAAGTCCAATGCTTTCAACTTGCAGAACCTCAAGATTAACTTTGATTCCAGCAATCTCTGTTCGAGAGCTGGCAAGTCTCGGATATCCATTGCGCAGGAGAAAGCCAACATCAGTCGTCGTTCCTCCGATATCGACCACAACAGCTCCGTCACTACCAATGGAATTCCCTGCCAGATAGGCAGCACCACGAATTGAGTTTGTTGCTCCCGAGGAGAATATCCGAATTGGAAATTTAATTGCCTCGGGAAACGACAGCAAATGACCAGTGTTTGCTGTTAAATACAACGGGCACTTGAGGCCCAGCTGGGATAGAGCTCGCAAAAAACCGTGCATAGTTCTTCGTGCAAAGTTAATAATCGATGCGTTGAGAATTGCTGCATTCTCTCGGGCCAAAAGTCCACTCCCGGAAATCTCATGGGAACACACGATATTGACATCGTGCCCGAGTCTGGCGAGCAAGATATTTCTAACCTGGTTTTCTTGGTGGTATTGCGTATCCATCGGGGAACCTATTCCTGCGACAACAACATTTTTCAAGTTCTGGGAGTGGATAATTTCCGCTTGCGCCTCAATCGAAGCTGGATCAATATCAGCAATGCGTGTTCCATCAATATTACAGCCGCCTGGTACAATCACAGCATGCCCCTTAATTAGTCGTTTGAGAGCTGGAGGCCAGTCGATGAACGGAGGGGTCTGGCTAGAAAAGTTATTGGATACAAGGCGGATGACGCCAACCTTTTCCAGTCTTGATGCATCGTGTTCGAGGATAGCATTGAGAAAATGTGTAGTTCCGATTGTCACGGCAGCAATGTTATTCTCATTGTTGGGTGCTTTGTGTAAGAGGTTTTCAAGGGTCTTCTGAACGCCAAGCGTCACATTCGAGGCGGTTGGGGACTTGTCCCATGCAATGATTGCACTTGAACCAGAGGCTTTTGTGTCGAGGAGAACAGAATCGGTGTTCGTTCCTCCAACATCCACTCCGATGACGAGGGAAGGGCCGTTGAGTGATGTCATATCAATGAGTGATTAGACCGTAGAAAAGTGTATGCAGCCAACCAATTCGAAGCCAATGTGTCCTAGAGATATAGGACAATCGATTCAAAGGTTAACTATAAGATTTTAAACGTGGGTACGATGTTTGCCAAATTTCATCAAACTCCAGATCCCTAGTCAACGAGTCATATATATCATTCCCGTTACTAACTACCTGTAAGTCCAATATACTCCCGAATCAGTGTATTGACTCTGTTTGGGTTTGGCATAGTGGAGAGAGATCCTAGATTTCTCTCTTACAACGTCAAGAGACTTGCAAAATGGGAGGTCGTCTGCGTTATCGGATCCAAATGCTGTCGTTGATTGGAAGAGTTCTTCCTAACAAACCATGATTCGAAACTTGGCGATTAGCGGTCACCTCTAAGTTAACGCATTGGCTCGGGACCTAATTAACTCGCCGATCTGTGGGGGGAAGTTTGAAGCCATTCTGTGCTATTAATTACCGGCAATTAAATTCCTGCAAGAAGTACAAAGCGCGAGACTACTCGGACGTGCGCAGAACCATGGGCAAAGATTTAGGGACTCCCAGGGTGGCGTGCTCCGGAACTTTAGGTGACAGTAACCTTAAGCCTTAATCAAAAGCTTTAGCTACGAACAGACAGCCAAAGCCTAAGATCCAGTTAAGTTAGGCTCTACCTTTGTAGTGCCTTGGCGAGTCTCACCTTCTGGCAGTTCTTACTAAAAACACCGGGCATTGAATTCGTAGCAGCTACAAACGATGAAGTGCGATTTCGGAATCAGGCCTCAAACAACTTGTGGGTAACATGAAGAGAATAAATCGGAGAATACACCTAAGAGGGTCAGCCTTGGCCGCCATCCCTCCTCCTGGGCATACGAAAGAGATGAGAATGCTACTTCAAATTCATGAAAGCGAAGTTTCATTTGTCTCACAAAAAGGCACACCCTGTCTTAGGAGCAGAAGTTACATTGAACGAATTCCATCACATATGAAAATTGAAGATGTAAAAGCCTAGTCAGTCCAAAACTGTCCATATTCCTCTCTCAACAATTCGCGATAGCTGCGAAATTGATACTCGGGTTTTCACGAGCAGAATGAGTCAGTGACACGCAAGCATTCAACCAAACAATTAGGTGTTTACTTTCCCGGTTCACACAACAAAACTCCTGCAGATGGCACAGTTCATTGAGAATGAATTTGGTAAACTAGACGTGAGGCATGAAACAACATTACACCTTGCTCCAGGGACAGGGTATCTAGCCCTACTATCCTAATTAAGGACATCGAGGAGATACTCCCAGTTCCCATATGAAAATAGGAGACAGTCGATGGCACGTGTTTTGTGGAAGGAATGATATAGATTGTTTTGCGGATATCCTACCGGGGCTTAGGCTATTAGCAACAATCACCTTCTGTAGAAGGGGATCGAAACTGAAACTCTATAAGACATCGCAGGGAGAAGAGGCACTTTCATCATTTTGGTCTTTACACTAAAAGTTATGAAATGCAAGTGAGAAAAACACCGCAGATATTAGCAACCGAGTCATGGGGAGAACGATGATACCCTGGACATTTCCCATGTTAAGATGACACGGCCCAATCACCTTCAAAAAGTGCGAAGGGCGGCATGCGGCGCAAAAGTTTTCCCCTCATTAACTAAATATCATAAGCTATCAAGCTATCTTATCAGAAAATCCGGAATACCTATCCGGGTCATACATCACACATGCGTTTCCCTATTCTCTTGATCCACTTCAGTTGAACCTCGAACATCCCCGTACGAGAATAGCTTCAACCTAAGTCAGGAACATTACAATGTATGTTTGTGTCCGGGACGATTTGTAATAGCAAATAACTGCTAAAATCCAAGCCGAATAGCTAGATATGCCTCTAAAGGCAAACCCATAGTGATAACTTATGTCAGAGAATAATTCATCATTCTGCGATGACAGTTCCCACAGCTTTTCGTCATAACGAGGAAACATCATCCGAACCCCCCGGAATACGACTGCGAAACATCCTCCTTGTTGGCAGCGGTGGCGTCGGAACCATAGCCTCCCTTGTGCTGGAGAAATCCCGTTGCGCAAGGGTAACCGCAATTCTAAGGAGCCGTTATGCTGTCGTCAAGGAAAAGGGTTGGAATATCGAGTCCGTCGACCATGGTACTCTAAAGGGATGGAGGCCGAGTCGTGGTGAGTTTGGTTCACAGCACGCGTCTCTGCAAAACCAAACAACAGTAATCACTTTAGAGCAAAGAAGAGCTAACGGTAAGAGTGACGAAGTGGTATCGAGCGTCGAAAGTGCTATGGAGGCTGAGACGGAACCTTTCGATTACGTTGTGGTCACCACCAAACAACCGCCTGATGTCTTCTCAGTCTCAGACCTTATAAGGCCAACTGTAACTCTAGGCCTTACTACAGTGGTGCTCATCCAAAATGGCATCAACATTGAGGTTCCCGTCATCGAAGCATTCTCTACGAACACGGTGATGTCATCCATCACGATGATTGGCTCTCGCACTGAAGGGGAGAACACGATCATCCAACTAGGCCCGGATATACAAATTATGGGGCCTTATTTTCATACGGGGTTAGAGAGATGCGTTCAGGCACAACAGGCACGAGAATTTGTTAAAATATACAAGGCCGGCAGAGAAGGTGAAGAGGCCAAGTGCACATATTCAGAAGAGATGCCCGTTGCTCGGTGGCAGAAGCTTCTCTCGAAGGCAACGCTCAATACGCTCTGCACGCTAATGCGATTGGACGTTGGAGAGCTGCTGTCGTCAGGGGATAGGGAATCGCTTCTGGTTCCAGCAATGTGGGAAGTACATTCCATAGCGAAGGCAGCAGGGGCCCCTCCATCCCAAGATATGATTCCCTTCTATGCCTATCAGCAGCCTGATGACTGTCGTTATCGGCCCAGCATGTTACTGGACCTCGAGAATGGAAGGCCAATGGAGTTGGAGGTTTTGCTGGGGCTGCCGTTACAGATTTCTAAAGCGTTGGGTGTCTCAACTCCGATTTTGAGCACTGTTTATGAGGCGCTAAAGGTGGTGAGGTGGAAGTCCGCGCAGGAATCACTGAAGCAGCACAGCTAGCTTAAGAAAGAGTTCCACAGTAGGACGAGTTAACGCCCTTCTGTACCATTCTGCAATGGGAACGGAATGCTAGGTCGTCACCTCGATCAGATAGAGATGTATTCCCCAGGGGATTCATCAACAACCTTCATCCAATTCCAATGCTGATTATTGGCATCAGTCGCGGTTCGCCGCATACTGTATATAGAATCAAATATATCTAGAGCAAAGGCTCTATCTTCCTCCGCAGTAAGCTCACAGGCAACAATAAACGTTGGCTAGAGCGACAACTTCAACTCCTTAGCTGGCGCAGCAAGGTGCGCCATGACCTCACAAGCCATCCCAAAGGCAGTTGAGTCAGCTTCCACAGAGTTTCCTGGAGGGTAAAGAAGGCGATGTAGGTAAAGGAGGGCAGCGGATCTACAGGTGTACGCCTGCAAGAGAAATTTTCTTGATGATCTTGCCGGCGCATCGCGAATACCGAACGGCCGCCAACAGCTAATCCGATTTTGAAGGCTTCCCGTTTTTTCTAACTTAGAACCTTCACAGGATACCGACAATGACTCGGCACTATGATTGACGATGGGATTGCCATATCACTAGAAGATATGAGTCTCACATCTTCCGCAAGAGCTCGTAGCTTTTGTAGTAATGGCATTAAAGTTGTCGGATAACCCATGAGCCTATCCGGGGAACGATGCATTGCTTCATCAAGCCATATTGCAGTGGGAATTTGCACACGGCGCCTGTTCACCAATGAAACGACAATGTCTTCAGAAGCGAGTCCCCGAAGGAAATATTTAGCCATCGAACTCATGGCTCGGCCGGATAGCATGTATAGGCGAGCAGGGCGGGCAAAGACCGTTCTGCCGCTCCTCATTCAACATCTCCATAATTCTGGTGTAATTCATTTACCTCAGTAGCACAAAGACCTTGAATTCTAACCAATGAATGCTCCAGCACCTGACTCAGATCACCCGACTTAAGTCTGTTGAAGATACGCGCCTGTCCCTGTAACTAGCGTTTGTAGGGCGATCGCTGTCCCGCATTCTCCACATACTTCTGCCCGATTGGTGTAGAGACAGTCGCTGATAGCTCGGGGACTATCTTGCAGGAGTAAGAGGATTAACGCATTCATTTCATCGACGAATTCGTAGCCTATCAGTAGCTCGGGAGGATGTCGTTCAAATTAGACCTTTATGCTCGCTTCATCGGCAGGGAAGATAGTCCTGGGGGGGGATCTGTGGCATAGTCCACGATAAAGCAAGCTGCGTAACTTGGGAATGAGATTTGCCGCTCGTCGATAACGGGACCCATATTGGGCCGCTGGATGGGTGACCTGTGGCTTGGCGTGAAGCATAAGATGAGTATTTTCTATGCCAGAAACAGTGGCAGAGGTATAAATATGGTGTCTCCCACCCTCCAGTCCGTAGCCCTGAGGGTTCGGGAAGGCTAGCTTCCGATCCCACTTACGAAAACAGTCTCTTCTTGAGAGATTCCGGGGCTGCCTGCTTGGACATTCCGATTCAACAGCTTTTCTCAGGAGCATATCCTTTGCATGAGCGAGCGCGACGAGCGCAAATGCTCTAGGAAGGGCGGGCTTCGTCGCATTTAACTCTCGAAGCCTTGCAATCTTTACATCCACCTCTTGATCTCTTTCGAAGCAACCGCAGTTCGGCTAGAGGGGAGCTGTCCAACTTAGCTGTCTCCATGCTTGGATATCATAGAGCCACTCTGTGTACTCGCTATGAGATCAAATTCAAATATCCAGAAAATTGGTAGCAAGACTTTACAGGCCCGAAGACCCTTCGGAGTAATAAACATGCAGGCGACGATCCAAGGTTTCAAATGGTCATGTCGGTAATCTCGGCTTTGACATTCTAAGTCTCTGGCAAACATCCATTCAATGCTAAAAATATGCACCTGAAAACCCCTATATTCACGGCAGATTTGTATATACCTTCATGGAAACATTATTGTAGATGCAACCTCCTTATTTCGTAACAGATTTAGCGTAACTCTCGTGCCTTTCGTTCCTTTCCTGAATATACTTGACTAGGCTTTCAGACAGGTTTGCTTCATTTGTCAATCCACTTGGCACCGGTTGACCCAGGTGCTCACACAAGGGCACAACCCCGGTCCACAGGGGCTCTTCCCGATCAGGGCCATCCTTCGCCCTATCCCGAGGTTGAATTCTGGGAATACCAGTTCGCAGCTTCAAACAGCCGTGCTTTGCTTCCACGCGGATCACGAAAACAAGCGATACTTGAAAGGATGCGACGGGATTGAGATCTTCCCATCTTCCAGCCACGATGTGGTTTGTGACAGCTCGCATAACATCACATTTCACATTGCGGTCTTCCACGCGGAATATGCTCCATGCACTACTGCTGAGCGGGTAGTTGAAAGAATGTCCATCTGGAGCTGATGAGAGAACAAGACCGTCCACTATGTTTAGTGCTGGGTTAGCAATCCAATACGTGTTGACTCGGATTTAACTATCATGGACATTCATCCAACCTTTTGTTGCCGTAATGCAAACTTTTATTTAATCATCTCCATCTCCATCCACATTTTCACCACTCCATCCTAGCATTTCTTTCTATGTCTTTCTTTCGCACTAGTTCCATAAACCTTGAGCTGGGATGACCATGCAAATAGGCCACCTCGCCCTCATGCTCACGTCGAAATAGAGCGACCATTGGTAAGCATTGCGGAAGGCCATTATCGATGTAGGAGACATGCGCTATAAAGCTGTCCGAGAAAACCGAACCGATAGATTCCGCATCGTATCTGCCTCGTTACTTGTGTCGACGCAGTTCAGCGGGCTGCATGTTATATATTTCTTCGCCGTCAAAGTTAGAGAAACTAGAGTTTGCCGTTGCAGGTTCTATATATATATAGATATTTCTCTCACTGTGATAAATGGCAGATGTCAAACTGTCCACCTCTGTGCTACTTATTTAGATTCCTCATCTGGGGAAAAAACCAAGTGAGGTGTTCCCAGTGTTGTCGTTGGAGATTTAGCAGGTGTCCGGCAGCGTCAGTTAAGGTAGTCAAGATAACCAGCCTGAGAAAGTTATCAGCGGAATAATTCAACAGGAAACTAGGTAGTCAAGAAATATAATATATTGCTTCTCCTCCGTTGTTAATTACTGTCTTGGTAATAGAAGTTGAAAAAAACCCTCCGATTCAATTACTATTTACTACTGCTATTATTATAATAATTATTATTATGAAAATGAAAAGAAAAATAAGAACGAGGGAACCTCTCAATCAAAAAGAACATAACAAGTTATGCATCTTGGCGTTGCTTAAACCTTGGAAAATACCTTTCTTGGGACAGAATGACAGGCTTGATTGATTGCAAAGGGTGCTAACTACGAGAACAACTATATACAGTGGAAAATTGGTCACGGACGGAAGGATTCGACAATATATATATATATATTCATTTTGAGACATAATATCAAAGGATGGTGAAATCGACCCCTAGTTACTCTATAGTGGAGTAGATATCTCGTGGAGCTCTAGATTCGTAAAGAGCAGTTATCATAACGTAAAATAAAAAAAATAAAAGAAGATAATAACATCTCCTGTAATTACATCCGTATGAAGAACAAAACCGCCTAAAACCAGCAAAGAAAGTAAAAGTGAACTTTCACATGCTTGAAGCAGTGTGATATAGCTTCGGCTTACTGTGAACTTGTTTGCATGAATAATGAAGTAATTGTGTGTCAGCTGAAGATATGACAGTCTGATCAATAGTGTCCAAATCATTAAGCTGAGAGAATAGGAATTCAGCATTCACAAGAAGCTCTTGAAGATGAACTAACTAATAGACAGTCTCTGAAAATAAGATATATTTAGCCTCTGTAGAGAATCTAAAGATATATATTTATTTATAACTTCTTAAGACAACAGAATCATCAGTCATATAGATGATATAGTGATGAAATGAGATTTTAAGTCTCTGCCTGCTCAATCATCATCTGCATAAGTAATAAAATCTATATTGAAGTCTCTGTAGTAAATGACTTTAAAGTCAGAAATGCCTTAGAGATAATATAAAACATTAGCCTATAAACTTATTTTTAAAGAATTTACTATTAAAAATACATAAATACTATCTAACAATTAATAAATATTTAAAAGACTTAAAAAATATAACTTTTAAATTAAATAATTTTTGATTTAATTTAATAATAATAAAAAAATTAAACTAAAAAATATTAATATTTAATATATAAAATATAAAAATAAAAATAATATAAAAAATTTTTATATATAATTAAAATTTATATAATATAGTTAATTTAAAATTTTACTTAAAAGAATTAAAGATTTTATAAGTTAAATATATATATTAATAAATTATTTATTATATATTAATATTATAGAAAAATTAAAAAAAATATATATTATTAAATAGTTTAATATTCTTTTATCTTTAAAATTAAATTAAATATATATATAATAATAGTTTTTATAATATATATTTAAATTTTATATTATTTTAAAGTATAATTTTATAACTATATATTTTAAATTATATATATATTAATTTTTAAAATAATTAAATTTTAATATAATTAAATATATATTATAATTATTAATTATAAATATTTTAAATAAATTATAATAATAATAATAATAATAAATATTTAATTTATTTATAATTATAATTAAGTTTAATAAATAAATATTTAAATTTAAATTTTTATATAATTAAATAATTAATTTAATAATTTTATTATATTATTATTTTAAAAATATATATAATTAATAATTATAATTTTTATTTAATTAAATTAAAATTTATTTATTTTATAATTTTAATATATAAAAATATATAAATATATAAATAAAAATAAAATAATATTTATATTTTTAATATTTTTAATTTTATATTTTTAAATAAATATTTTAATAAAATTTAAAATTTATTTTTAAAGATATTTTTTTCATTTTTTTATAAAATTAATATAAAATTTTATATTTATTTTAATATTAAAAATAAAAATATATTTAATTAATTTATATAATATTTTTATAAATTTTTAATATTATTATTATAAATATAAAAAAAGTAAAAACTTAAAGATTTATATATAAAATTTTAATTTAAATAAAGTTTAATTCAGTAAAAATTTTTAAAATTTTAATATTTTATTTTTTAAATTTAATAAATAATTTATTATTTAACTTTATTCACTTTTATTATTTAAATTTATATTATATTTATAAGTTATACTTTGATATATTAATTATAATTCTTAAAAATATATAAAAATAAAATTATTAATATATTATATTTTTAATTTAATTTAACTAAATATTATTAAATATAAGTAATAATGAATATAATCTAATTAACTAAATAGATTTAATTTTAATATTCAATTCAATTAAGTATTCAATCTATCTAAAAATTATATAATTGAACAAAGTTAATTGTAACTATTTTACATAAAATATAATCTTTTCTTTTATAAATATAACAAACTTAAATTATCAACTAAAGTTAAATTTTAATTAAGTAAAAATCTTCTTTGTAGTTGAATCAAAATTTCAAAGGTAAAATAAAAGTAATAAACTTATATTAAATATAATAATTAAGTTTTTATTCTTGAGTAATGAACTTAAAATATAACTTAAAGCAAGCTCTACTTGAAAAGCTTAAAATATTAAAAAGAAAAAGAAAGAAAAAAAAAAAAAGCTAAAAGTATCCGAATTGATTCTTTAGAAAAGTGTGAGAAGATAATGATATCGGAGGGAAGCATACTTGGCAGCTTGTTTTCGTATTGTACGGGAAAAAAAGACCTGTCACCAAGGTGAGTGGATCGAGAATGCCGGGTGACGTTGCAACTCTGGCGGTTTTGAAAGCATTGAAGCTTGACAAGAGCATAACCAGGGTCTCAGTATCCGTCATCCACGTCGTCCCAAACATCTTCTAGTGGGGTGCCTGGAATAAAACACACTCATCATAATTCGACCCTGAGTGGCAGTGTAGGTAGCCAGGTAAGTATCCGGAACTGGGACGTCCACCTTGGTGGCTCAGAACAATTTACGTTCTTCGTAGATTCCACGAAACATCTGCTCGGAGCTCCATTCGTTCACGTTTGGGTTAAGCGTAGGTTATCAACAATCCGAGCCTGCTGCCATCCATACTTTGGTGATGATGAAGCTGTGGATATCCATATTATAGGAATTCTAGGTGAGGGGAGAAATATCGTTAAAGGATTGAGAAGGTTGCGTTGTCCAACTCATGGAAAAGTCAAGCTGTTTCGGTGACGTTGCTTTCTGCATTGATATAAAATAATACAATGAAGAACAATTTAATACTATTTCACCCAACTTCATCCAAATCGGCCCAAAAAAAAAAAGCGCCCAGATCAAGTGAACAAACCGCCTAAACCTGTAGTTAAACTCGCCCAGTGTTCCGTCAGTCCCCATCACAGAGCCCCGTATTTAGCAGCCTAACACTGTAGTTAACCCACCCTGGGTTCCATCGGTCCCCATCACAGATCCCTGGATCTGCATACCCCCTGGAGGAATTGGCCACGAATAAACCGCTCACCGGCAGGCTTGTAGTAGGGCGACCACCAAAAACCCGGTCATAGGCAACTATCACCACTGCAGATCGTCTTTCAATACAGACAAATCTCATTCTTGCCTTGTGATGAGGTATGAGAAGTTTTCTATTTACCGCCGTTGCTGATATAAGCCAGAATGGTGTAAATCGAAATCATTAATGGAGGGGGGATGTCGAGAGTTATAGCGCAAATGTAAACAACAACGTAGGTTGACACAACTGCCTCATTCCCAAAGTCTACCGCGTTAACCAGCCAAATATCCTCCTACAAATAACATTCTCCCATCCTATATCAATGACCGTATCTGATACCACCTAAATCTTCATCTAGTTTTTCACAGCCCTGCTTTGTCTCTGTTCCGCCAGGACCTCTTCACTCACACTAACCAAGATATCAAATGCACGTCGGATATATTTCTCCTCTGCCATTGTATTTCCACTTACTACCCGGATGACCGGGCGCCCGTGGATCACCGTACACGTCAGGAATATTTCTCCTCGGGCATTGATAGTCTCGCAAACTTTCCGAGTAATAGCTCCTGAGGAGAATGCTGGTTTGGTCGTGCCATTGGTCGTGCCATTGGTCATGCCATTGGTCAGGGTATTATGAGCGACGCCGTTTTGCGTGGTGACACTGTTTGGATCAACTTCATCCAATCCCTTAATTCTGACAACCGTCAATCCAAAGGCCGGCTTTGTGAAGACCTCAAAAATATCATCACGGCTTCTAACGAGGTCAACAAAGACGCGGCCAATGTTTACACCCTTACGGATATGTGCTTTCATGCCAGAAAGCCCGTACGAACGCATGACAAACCACACTTTGAGTGCGCGGAAGCGTCTCCCAAGTGAAAATTGCCAATGGCGAAAGTCAGTCACTGGGGAAGTAAGCGTGCTTGGATTCCGCAAGTAAGCGGGTGCAATGTCCAGAGAGCTGGTGAGGTCGCTTGTATTGCGAAGGAAGAGGCAACTATGGTCGTAGATATGGTCGGATTAGCTTGCGAAAATTAAAGGAAATCCAAAGGGCAAAGCTCACCTAGTGTCAAAATTTACTAGAAGCCACTTGGCCATATCCATATCAAAACTATCGACGCCTTCTGCGAACTCCTTCGCAATGTACTGATACTCCT